TCTGTTACTTATTTTCTATCTGTACAAACACTACCAACAGAAATTACAGGGTTATATACGCAAATGGATCGATGTCATAGGTGACGTCAGACTGTTCCAGGAATATCGTTTGCACTGACGATACATACATTATAACGCTGATATTTAAAAAAAAAATGTAAATCACTGATCATTGTCTAATCTTAGATCATTTGACATTTCTGTACCTAAACAATGTGTAGCTTTCACAATGTCATTCGGACATCCAGACATCTCACATTACAGTTTAGTTCTGCGTCACCAAGACATCTCCCTGCAGTTTCACTGAAATACTCATGACATTCGAAGATAATTCTAACACCTCTTCATGCTGTTGAGTCAGCAATATCGCGTCACTTTACTCAATTTGAAGTCGCCACACCTCTCTAAATGTTAATCTTGAGACTGAGTGACATTCGGACACCTCTCCCTACAGCTTGTGTTAAACTTAGATTCCGTGACATTCGGACACCTCTCTCTACAGCTTGGCCTAGACTCGGTGACATTCGGACATATCTTTCTACATCCTGTCTTCAAGACTCCGTGACATTCGGACACCTCTCCCTGCAGCTTGACCTTAGCCTCCTTGACATTCGGACACCTCTCCATTAAGCTTGACTTAAAGACTTCAAGACGTGCAGACCCTCTCCCTACAGCTTCTTAGACTTCGTGACATTCAAGCAACTCTCTCTCGCTACAATTTGATACCAGAGACCTGCATTGCTCTATAACATAACTATACGGCTATATATGTATTTTACTTAATACAGCGTCGCACGACTAGACCTGTATATATGTATAGCGCCTGTCCTTACCAAAGCCCCTATCACGCTTTGCGACATACACGCGGAGGCGAGGCAGTTTCGTGCCAGCCATGAAGCGTTGCACACAAGATCAATGCTATCTTGATATCTCTGGCTAATTTACTTACGTCTACACTATACTTGATCCCTGAACTTTCATGAGAATATAGCAAATCACACATTTTTATGGGCTTTTATTGGCTTTACGATTCAGAATCAAGCCGGAACCGAGCCTCCTGTCTCAGTCCAACAACCAACCTGGCGAGACTATCCCTTTGTACGTAGTCTCGCAGAGATACTGTCAGACACTCATATTTCGTGAGCAGTATATTACTCTTTAAGAATACCAAACTGTCTTCAGTGAATAATTGTGTTTATTTAAAATGAACCATAGGCTTTAAATTCGAAAACGAATTTTGTAATCGCGTTCAAAATTCTCTCTTAAATGCTTGCAATAGCTGAAAGCGGACACTACTTATTAACTATGTAAACGTACTCTACCAAAATGCATATTCCCTACAACGATATCCCCACCCTACTTCCACTCCTCCCACCCTCGGGGAATATGGTCGACTGGCTGTCGGTAAACCAAGAGGTGTCTCAAGATGTTCATTATTGATCGAGAATTCAAAAATAGCTCACTAATTATAATAGCACCCAGATACTTGTAGTTATTGCCTTTTCTTTCAAAGTAAAATTCTCGCGAACAACAAACAACTCTAAGGAAGTTTAGCCACGAATTGTTTTATTCTCGGAAATTAAGTATTTTACATAACATCACGATGTCTTTATGACTCCTCAACAATTGGTCGAGGTTCTTTATTCCTCTACATTTTCTTTTCCTTTCCAGAGACGATTTTGAAAATCCCCTTTCAAAGCAACTCCTTGACGGTATGTTACCAAGATAGCGTGTCCGGAATCTTTTGGTATGGTACTCGTGCAAAATACAAAAACATTGAAAGTGTTTGGCGACAAACTGTCTTACAAGATAGTCAAAAAGCGGAGCGATAAGTATTTCAAATCCGCCACAATGTCAATTTTAGTAGAATTTTAAATGAGCGTATTAAACGCTTTCTGATTTAGTCAATGGTGCACTTAAAGTATTTGCAGTGAAATAGGATTCCCACTTAAATTAATATAATCCCAGTATACGTGACTACATGTGATATCGACGCAGTTTTAGCGCCCGCGCCTGCATAGTCAATACGAGTCGAAATGGAGATGCTTTTAGTAAGGTCAATAGAACCGACACTTTCGTGTCTGGCACTCCGATACCAAAAGCAGACGCTCTAACAAGGCCAAGCCGTGATGGCCTGGTCTTTTGTGCAATATATTCAAGCAAAACGTGCAGAAACCTTTTCGAACTTTTCCCTCGCGATTTTAATCCTCCCTGAAGCCTTTTTCGGTACTTCGTCTAGTGCAAAGGTATTCGGGATAGTGCAGTGTCTTGAAGGAAAGAGATTTAGTGCGTTTCATTCCGACAAAAAGTACAGTCCCCTTTCGCCTTACTATTTCGATTACCAAGCTTTCTCTGTGACGAAAACCACTGTCTCATTCAATGCTACCAAAGTGGGTTTTCAAAATAGGGACGGCTTACAATTGGAGAAGATGGAGTTCAGCGTTTTCTGGTAGCAGTACATAGCGTGCCTACTTCACAGCCGCAATTTCACAGCGACTGTCTCTCAAACTGTCTTTTTAATACAAAAGTATAAAATACAAATGTCATCTTAACTGTTGACAGAGATTTTATTAATCTGGTTTTCAGCTCGGAATGTCTTATAAACACTGTAGATTAATTGTCAAGCGGATTCATCTGTAGTTACTCTCAACTCAATTTGTGTTTTTTAATCTATCATTTTTGACAGATGACAATCAATACACGAAATTGCGCTGTATCGTTTTAGACAACAGAATGTGTGGCTGCTATTGAACTAGGGCAATCATTGTTTGTCGAGTCCTGAAATAGATTCACAAACTGGTCAAGCAACGGAGACGTAGACTGTGGCCAGAACGTACTGGCTAAAAACATATCAGTACAATGTATATGACGGGTTAAAGGCATTGATTTCACACCGGGATATAGATTACATAGTGACGCTCACACTGAAATTGACATTTCTACCCTGACAGTTTGAATGCAGATATGTATGTTTCAAGGGTGATGTTTCAAAGCTGCTATGAAATTGGATTCCAGAACATTGATAGCATTCGCCGGAAATGAAATACGATGTATATACTAAAGCATATATTGCCGGAAACGTTCATTACGATATATGGATTATTGAATATCACCAATATATATAACAGTGTGTCCCATTGGATTATATTGATCACATGATTGAGATAAATAAACCATTGCATGTTCGCCCCTCACGCTGGAGTTTCCCTGGTCATGTTTGCCTTATTCGGAGCCTCTCTAGAAAGTATAACAAGTGACATCCCATTCGAGTTCCGAGTGACAACAATGACTGTGAAGCCTGATCTTTGAGTTCCAATATATTGTATATCACGGTTAAATCACCCCTGCAGGTCGGGGATCGAGAAAAGAATACACCTGCTGTCACCCACGGCAGGTATAGTAAGAGGCGACTAATGTTGGAACAAACTGCAGAATGGGGGATTTGCTTTTGTGCCCTCTACTTTGGGACACAAAAGCGCCTAAAATAAATCTACTGCACCCATTGCAATAGTTGGGATCTTTATATTTCTCTTTACTTCAAACTAGCTTTTTTCCTATCGCTTTTCCCCTATTGTGTATTGTTGAGCGTTCGCCGAGGTGAGACAGGCACTGGGTTCTGTTCCCAGGCCAGGCCATATTTACCAAAGTCCTTAAAAATGGTAGTTGTTATTCCCTGCTTAACGTTCAGCATTTAGGGTAATGGCAACAACTGGTTCACCCGTTGTCAGTATAAATTAACCGGGCGATATGCCGTGTTTGGGTGCCTTCGGCATGGTATTTCAGTGAGATGGCACTATAAAGTCGGCATCAGATCCGCGCTATGACAAGGAAGCAAATACACCAACATATACCCTGTCTCCGGCACACATGCACACATACACACATGCACGCTTAGACCTCATACATGGAGACACGTCCTTAAATGACCTTGTATGTTAATAAAACGTTAAACAATATAAAACTAAACCAACCCAATAACGGCTAAAAATGATATCCTCTTACTCTCCTCTCCTTCCTTTAGCTCATACTTATCAATGTCTATAACCTACTGAGCCATTCAGATGCAAGATTAATCGCCCCTACATATATGAAGTTCTGAAGCATTGCAATCAAGGTGAGCTCGCGTCACCACCTACAATGTATCTGAAAATTCCGAGCAGGTAGATGACAAAGATTGCAAAGTCAATTTACCTTCTTGATGCAGTAATGCTTTGTACACGGGTTTATTTCATTGTGTTTAATACTGTTTTTTGGCACACCTCTCTGTCGTACGATTTTGTCGTCGGGTATTAGAAAGCAGTCTACCTGAAAATGTTTCACCTGCGTAAGCGCTAGACGTGTACCTGAATAAAAATCGTAGCATCTGTGTTATGTAGCATCTGATAAATCTAGCAAAGTCGGAGAATTTTGTCAATGACTGCATCGTCTAGACTTTGGAGTTGTTGGTCGTAAAAAACATCAGTCATCTGCTGAAAACCTACTGTGTGTAGTTTAAAGACGTCCATCTTGGAATACCCTGAAAACCCCCAAAGATAGGATTCTTCCGCAACCGACCGAAGTGCTCTTCAATCAAAGTAAGGGTGATGACAGTATCGACACGTGTACTCTGGTGAACGTCTGGCGCAGTTGTACACCACTTCCGGTCGTAGGAATGGTCATGCGGTTCGACGACTGACCGGAAATGTGATCGTCTATCGTTTTCTTTTTTTGGTTGTTTCATTACATTTCCGGATTAAGGGCGCACATGCATGACTACAATATTCCCTGAAGTACAGGTTGCAGAAAGCCGTTGGTTATAAAAACGGATTTTGATTGATAAATGGAACATCTGTCTCAAATAGTAAAGTACAATGAAATTGTGTTGACGAGTTCAAAACCTTAATTAAATGGATTCTAACAAATTTGTTAAAAGATTACTCTAATTTTCGTAATAGTAATTTTAGGAAAATTGAATATTTTTACAATCAAAATTAAATATTTCTATTTAATCATTCTTGCAGGATTCCCGGAAATGCAAGATGGAGAAGAAAGGGAAGCCACGGTCGTGCATACCCGTGCCTGTCAGCCACTCCCCTGTGAAGGCCTCACCCCCTCCCATCATCTGTAGCGACGGGACAGTCACAACCTCACAGGTAAAAAGCATATACTAATAGTCGATTTCAAAATTATAGGGAAGACATTTTAATTGCCATATTTGTTTAAATTTGCTTTATGTGTAGCTGACCGCTCACCAAATGATGTTGACCCAAAAAACTCCTGGATATTAAAATAACCGCGTAACGGCAGTGAGCGTTAACGTTGGTCGCTTTATAGAGATATGACCGCCTTAAAAATGGGTTAGGCCGGCGGACCTGCAAGTGACCGCTGAAGACAGACGGTGGCCGTTTATTACAGATGCCGTTATTTAGGACCGCGCTGACTAGATTATCACAGCCCTTTAACAAGCGTTTCTGTCTAACTAGAGATTATATGCACTGACATGACTCTTCAACTCCTCAAGTTACCCTACAATTTTGAAACGTCTGAGCATAAAAATATTGATATATATGTACCTTATTTCTTCATAAGTAGTCGAATTATTAGGGTTTTAACGTCTTTGCAATAGCTAAGATGGCCATACGGCGACGGCATTGGTAAAAAAACAATATCTTTGACACAAATTCAGATCACTGCTACGTTTGGTCCGTACGTCATCGGCGGGGGAAATGCACGTGTATTACGTGACCAGAGACATATAAAGTCATAGTAGTAGTAAACGTCTCTGACGTGACGTAGATTGTGGGACAGAACGGTTGTACATTGAGCCCTATATTGACTGTATCTAGTGTTGTCAGTTATTTGGGAAAATGACAGGATACTTTTGGCGGAAAGTGCACAAGGTAAGATAAACTTTTCTTTAAAGACTGTGTTTTGTACACCCAACAACCTGTCAACACTAAGATTTCTGTATAAAATAATTGTGGAACTTGGACCATATTTCCGACAATTTCGTTAATCATATGTGGACACGAGCGTATTTGATTTGTTATTCGTCATCCAATATTTGAAACTTGTTTCAATGAAAATCATAAGTTTCGCGATTTCACACAAACTCTTTTAAGTTTAAAAATCTCGTTGATTTTAATTCTAATCCCCCGGATTTTTTTTTTTATATATAAATCCCAGATATCTTTCCAGGCAAATCGATCACTGTCATAAACGAAACTTGTATAAAATTATATAAGCTTTGAATAAAAAAATGTGATTAATTACCCGTTTCATGATTCAAGGGGAGTAACTCCCACATTTACAATATGGTAGGGGCCGCTGTACATGTGTTTGCTACTGACAGCCGATCCCGACGGGACAGAGATGTTTGATGGTTCGTGGCGTACGTACTTATTCACTGGGCTGATACATGAAGTCCACAGGCAGTAATCATTTGCAGATATTATGAGAAATAGATCCAAGTCAGAGAAGTTACTTTCATGTATTTGGGATTATGAAGATTTAAGAAGTTTCAGTCAACATCACCCAAAGCTCCAACAGTGTATACGTATGTCACCACTTTATTCATATTTCCACAAACATTTTTTTTTCACTGCAAAACTTCAGAAACTAACATTCTCCTTAACTTCTATAGATACATAATTAAATATCCAAGGACTCGTACATGAGATTACTGTTCAGCTCGGCCAATAAGTAATTGAGCACATTTATATTATACACTTATTAATATCACTTACATGGTTTGATTTAAAACCATTAAGAAGGTCTAAACTTAGTAATTGAGGGGTTCTTCAATGATATTTAATATAATGATATTTTCATGTTGGGTTAGGGTTGGGTTGGCAGGGAAATGGGGGAGGGGGATAATGAATGAAATGGTAGGTATAGTCAGTGAAGTAGGATTCCCCAGGGGTGGGGATGGGACAAGGAGATGGTTAGTCATGTATATATATAGGATGGAGGAATCATGTGGAAGGGTCTTGGGGATGGTGGATAGTATTGGACACAGTTCAATTAAAAGTCATGAATGTTGGGTGGACGGGCCGGGAGCTATAAATAGATTATGAGATTGGTAACCGACTTAAAAGTGATATTATAGGAGGAATTTTAAATCCAACATAACATAATTTTTTGTACAAAAATATAACTTTCAGTAAAATCCATTTCTGATGCATGTATAAGTACAGTACAGCTATAGAGATATGATCTTGGAGGATGTTTATAAATGAAGCGACATTTATCTCCTGGCGTAATCAATACTCTATCCACTTTAAATAAGTCTTTAAAAAACATAGATGCAGTGTCTTATCGCTATTGCATAACCTCGGCAGCTCTAGACACAATACTCCTAGATGTTTTTCTGTAGTTTCTTAAAATATCAGAAATATCCATTTATGATAAATCTTTACTACAGCGCGAGACAAGACATTGCAATTAGCCATTCAGTTTTATCTTTAAGAGACCCGAGACCTGGTTTAAACTGGAACAAACGTATCAAAAACATTTAAAATGCACATTTTATAGGGTCAAATAAATATGATTGCTGAAAATGTCGGAAAAAGTTTAAACAAGGAATTTAAGGGGAATATTTAAAAAATAAATTGACCCAGCTGCTACAAGTTGGATTTTAAACTAAAAGCAGTTAGCACTGATTCTAATTAAATTGAAAATTTAAATGACATAAAATTAACAAAAGGAATGTTAAGGAAAAAAATGATAATTGGATCTTGGTGTCCATCTAAATTGAAGGTCATCTACGGTATTAAGTTGCTTCAGCACGATATGACAATCATTGCTGCTATTGAGTTGACTGCGCAAGGACAAATCGTATTGCCAGCGTTGATTTTCTTCGTCTGGGTTTTTTGCCATTCAAACAAATCAAGAACTTTACGAAATGACATACCACCTGCCTTCGTTCAAATGTTAGAAGTTCTCATTTCCTTAACTGGACGTGTAGGTAATTGAGTTACGGAGTTCTTGCCTCAAAAAGCGAATGTTTTGTACGGGGAGCGATGGGCTTTGGACTTTATTTACTATATATATATATGGATTGCGGCAATGTCGCCTCAATTGTGGACATTCTTCAGCATTGTCGATAGAAATGTCTCGGTCTTATTATGTATGGCTTCTTTACACTGAATTTCTTTTCCTTTGCTTTGTTTTTTCAAAGTTTAACTTTATCTTTTGAGATTGTGAGCACTCAAATAAAGTGTCCTGCTTTTATTAAGGATTGTTTCCCTTTTAAATTATGTGTTTTATTTGAAAAGTTTGTTATTTGTGTTTTTTGAAACTAGTGATATTCCTCTGCCTGAAAGTGTAATGCATCCTTTTTATTTGTGGGAGATCAGTTATCTGTTTGGTCAAATTAATTTAAGTAAGTTAGTTTTCAAAAACAAACTGTGAACTTTTTATAGAGGTTTTCCCCATGTAGATCAAAATTAATAATTTATTAGTGTGATATTTTATTTCTCCCTCGGAAGGAAAAAGTCAAATACAGCTAGCACTTGACATATTTTTTTTTATCTTTGAACATGAAACATTACCCTGATTGTTTCAATCTACCCAGCAGTACAAATTGGTTGCAAGCATATTGGGAAGTAAGCTTTTGTTAGACTGGCTTCCTTCCAGGCAGGAGTCGAACTTGACTCGCAGTGGCTTCAGAACATCAAGTTAAGCTCTGTGTTTCGATGGGTCACTCAAGCAAGTCCAGAAATAATGGACTCGATCTGTTTGCTCCCGAGAGCTCCAATATCATGTCACTTTCATAAGATAATTTTGTTCAGCTATTGAACGTATATTGTAATATGTACATGATGTTGGTTCTTACAATTACAAATCGTTGTTTAACAATTCTATGAAAATGTGAAATTCTGTGACATATCATTTTATTTATGTGAAATATGGGGGAGACCAAACAACAGAATGTCTGGTTGAAATTTACTGGCACAAAGGTCAGAGGTCATCTATCTGACTCTGTATCAAGCCTCATTTGATTAAACCGATCTCATTTGTTTCCGTAGCTGTGATTGGTTCCGTTGGATACTATTATTACATAAAATTGCAATTCAATTTGGAATAAAAAGATCGCTGTTTGATAAAACTAAAATAAAATTGACTCTCAGATTATTGATTTTGATAAAAATGAATTACAAACTGCAATCGACTAAAATAGATCATTTGATAAAATTAAAAAAAAAATTGTCACCTTCATATTTTATGACCTGGCATCTGTGTATTTATTTTAGGGTCTCCCTGCAGATTGACTTGTTAAATATTAATCCCGAGTAAATTCTGTGTAGGTAGAGATTTAGGCTTTCAGTGAATTGAAGTTATACTGCCGCAAATAATACGACCGTTCACAATACAATTTTCATGGTATGACCCCTGTTTTTATGACCAAATGTAATCCCTCTAATTCGTTAAATCCCTTTTGATTCCCTTTTCTAAGGAAGTGCAAGCTAAAGTGTTTATTTTCTCGAGATCTATCTGAAAGATTTTGATTTGAATAAAACAACTACTGTAATGCAAATATGATTCGATACATGGAGGTGTGGTATACGAGAAGTCTTAACGCTTGTTGTCTAAGTTATGTTTTTTATGTATCATTAATCATAACACCTAGGAAAAGTGTGTACCTATTAATAATCTACCTGGACCAAACGAGTGTTACCTGTCTTTTGAGTCAACATCAAAGGTAAGAGTTTTGTGTGTACCTGTCCTTCACCTGTCTGTGATGTTTGGGAGGGTGTCGAGTTGACCTACATTCAAGAGGGGGGTATTACATATGTTTCTCGCTTTCATGTAAGAAGGATGAATTTATCAAAATCCGGATTCCTTGGATACATTGTAAATTACGTTTCTCTGGTTAACAGGTTAGAAATACACATGTGGTTTCTTTTCCTTTAGATTCTGTTTGTTCTTTTGCAAACTCCTGGAGATTACGTCCGTACAACAGAGAGACTTTGATTCTTGAAAAGTTCTGTCGAAGAACAAAGAATGCTACTGTAACATGATCATTTTCAGGTGTTTTTTTTTTTTGCTGTGTTTATGTGATAAGTCTAGTGATAATTGAATCGGCTGTCATTAATACGATGAACTTTTTTACACACCAAGTCTATAAGATAGAAGAGATTTAATTTTTACT